CACAAATTATTAATACATCCTACCCTTACCTCTTGTACCTCTTTACCCCACTCCCTCTAGAGTGTAAGTTCGGGTGAGCAGGGCCCTCAACCCCTCGTTTCCTGTGAGTCCAGCTTGTCTTGTTGCAAATACATGTCTGTTAGACCACCTAATGTACAGCGCTTTGTTGGTGCTTTATAAATAATACAATTAAATCAATTAACAGTCTAAATATATATAAATCATGTTGTAAGTGAATGGCTGAAAATGTTTTAAAGGAACCCTCGAAACCCCATAACAACATAGGTTATTTAAGTTGTTATGGGTGCAGAGGTATCCGGCTCCTTCTTACCTTCAGTGGTTAAGCCAAAGTTGGGGTCATTTGCCCTGCATTCTTGCCTTATGTTCTGTTTCTTTCTGCTGCGCAATATTTGGAAGGGATAGGTAGACGGCTGCTGACTTAAGGAGAATTCATTAAAAATCAAAATCATGTGCTACAAAATTCTGCATTAAAGTAACACTCCCACCCCATAACAATTTAAATGGTTACTCCAACCACCATGGCCCCTTCATGACGCCAGGAGTGGTCTCCGAAGAGCAGCACTGGAAGTTTCACCTGGAACTGGGTTCAAGGTAAGTATAAAAACTTTCTTTCAGGGTTTATTGGAACCGGAGTGGAGGGGGCGGGGGGGAGACCTCTTCCATAGTGCCCAATAAGATGTTTTATACAAAAAAACTCAAAAGCGTTAAAGTATGTTGTTATATGGGCAAGAGTGTCCAGTTGCCTTCTAGTCTAGAAGCGGTATGGCAGTAGTTTAACCCAGCACTGCCACCTCTCAGCCTAAGTTTCTCTGTGATGAGCAGTAGAAGAGATGCTCGGGTGATGGCTGACACTCTCTGCCTATTAATGGGTGCCCACTGAGAAAAATGGTATCTAACCCTTCATCATTCTGCAGAGAAGAAGGGAAGATGGGAGACAAGAGTGCCGGGTGCTCTAGCCCCAGTTTTGGGATTAAATTGTTGCCATACAGTTTAAATTCTGGAGGTAAGAGGCACCCGGATACTCCCACCCTAATAACAGTATAAGTAATATTAAATTGCTAACGGGGTGGGGGGTTCGTTTAATCAAGTTTAATAAGGACATGATTTAGATTTTTAATCCATAAGTGACATTGCCATATAAGATAAATTAAGTCTATTTGTATATCTATCTAATCATTATGGAGTCTGTTCTCCATTTAGACAATTTTATTGAAACGTTTGACTGGTTGTCAGTATAACACACTTCACTGTTTAGTGAATACATCTCATTGCTATTTTTATGTTTATTTTAATTTTTTTGTATGTTTTTGCCAAGGTTTAATTTAAGCCCACTAGCCTGTGCCAAGAGCCATCAATCCACGAAAATCCTAATTCTTCGTGACCTCTAGTGTTCATTATTGATACATAGGCAGAATGCACCAGGGTAGTGTGCCAGAACATTTTTGTCATTGAAAAATGACTACTATTTGTTCTGTCTGTATGTTTCAGCCCTGCACCACGACTGCTGTTTATACTGTATGTATGTTTCAACCCTATCATAAGTAGTGCGTATACCGTATGTGTGTCTTACTCCTACTCACTGAGTGATGTTTATAGTGTATGTGTCACTCCTACTCACTGAGTGATGTTTATACTGTATGTGACACTTCTACTCACTGAAGGTGTTTATACTGTTGTCACTCCTACTCACTGAGTGATGTGTATACATGTCTCACATCCACTCAATGAGTGCCGCATATGTACATATATGGTATAAACATCAGCAGTGTAAGTGAGACACACATACATATACAAATGTCTATCTGTCTGTCTGTCTGTCTCTTTCTCTATCTATCTGTCTGTCTGTCTACACAAACCAAGAAAGTTATGGTGAGGAAAAAAGTGATTGAAAACCACGTCCACCAGAAGTCAGTTGATAGTCAATACAGGAATCTCAAATTTACAGTGATGTTACAAAAGGGTGATTCTTTGTTGAACTAATTTGCATATGCCAACCCAGAATCCCTTGCAGTAGTAACAGCACTGCAAGTTTGAGATTTCTATGGGAAAAGCATGTCTTGTGGCTTGACAGACGTGTGCAGGTCTGTGTTTAACAATGTATTTACTATCTACATAGAATATATACACAGTAAGCTCTTGCGTCTATGGTGCAAGGAGTGTCCTGCTCCCCCCCCCCCAATGTAATTAGTCAAACTGTTTTAGAATTGTTTCATTTCTTACCTGAGCCCACCGTGTTGTTGTGTATTTGTCACAAGTATTCACCTGAATATGTGTTTTGTTCAACAAGTTGTTTATGAGATGTCAAGAAATGTTTATAATAATGTTGTGAATTATGATAAACTGGAAATAAAAGAGCACAATTCATTAGTTAAAAGGAAAATAAAGGCTGCAATCGACGATAGATTTGGCGCTGATGATGATTCCGGGAGCAGCAGAAGTAGTCAGTTTTACAGCAGAATTGACTGAAAGCGTGGCATTTCACAGCGTCTGTTGGGGTCAGCTGCACATTGTAGGGTTATAATTGTATTTTATTTTGCTTGCCAATCATATTATCTTTCACTTGTTGACATTTAATTCTACTTTCTCAATCCGATAATTAATTTAAATTATCAACTGTTTTATTTAACCTTTAGCTGTAAAAAAACATTTTCTGCGGAGAAAAATCAAAATATGAAAATTGGCTCCTGTCACTTTAATAACATAACTAACAACAAATAAATTCAAATAAAACTATAAGATAACACATTAGAAATATGCAATGCGACAGCACCGTATGAAAGGCCTTATTTATAAAACTATTCTTTTTTTAAATAAAATTTTACATAAAAGCACACATTGCTCTTTTAGCGATATTTGGAAATAAGAAACACATTTCAATGTGTCTTTCTTGGTACTGTTCCTTCCTCCCTCTCACTCACTGTCCCTGCCTCCCTCCCACTCACTGTCCCTGCCTCCCTCCCTCCCACTCACTGTCCCTGCCTCACCCTCACTCAGTCTCCCTTCCTCCCTCTCACTCACTGTTCCTTCCTTCCTCCCTCTCACCCACTGTCCCTGCCTCCCTCTCACTCACTGTCCCTGCCTCCCTCTCACTCACTGTCCCTTCCTCCCTCTTACTAAATGTCCCTTCCTCCCTCTCACTCACTGTTCCTTCCTCCCTCTTACTCACTGTCCCTGTCTCACCCTCACTCATTGTCCCTTCCTCCCTCTCACTCACTGTCCCTTCCTCCCTCTCCCTCACTGTCCCTGCCTCCCTCTCACTCACTGTCCCTGCCTCCCTCTCACTCACTGTCCCTTCCTCCCTCTCACTCACTGTCCCTGCCTCCCTCTCACTCACTGTTCCTTCCTCCCTCTTACTCACTGTCCCTGTGTCACCCTCACTCACTGTCCCTGTCTCCCGCTCACTCACTGTCCCTTCCTCCCTCTCACTCACTGTCCCTGCCTCCCTCTCACTCACTGCCCCTCCCTCTCACTCACTGTCCCTGCCTCCCTCTCACTCCCTATCCCTGCCTCCGTCTCACTCACTGTCACTTCCTCCCTCTCACTTACTGTCCCTGCCTCCCTCTCACTCACTGTTCCTTCCTCCCTCTTACTCACTGTCCCTGTCTCACCCTCACTCACTGTCCCTTCCTCCCTCTCACTCACTGTCCCTTCCTCCCTCCCACTCACTGTCCCTGCCTCCCTCTCACTCACTGTACCTTCCTGCCTCTCACTCACTGTCCCTTCCTCCCTCTCACTCACTGTCCCTACCTCCCTTTTACTAACTGTCCCTGCCTCCCTCTCACTCCCTATCCCTGCCTCCCTCTCACTCACTGTCCCTTCCTCCCTCTCACTCACTGTCCCTGCCTCCCTCTCACTCACTGTTCCTTCCTCCCTCTTACTCACTGTCCCTGCCTCCCTCTCACTCACTGTCCCTTCCTCCCTCTTACTCACTGTTCCTCCCTCTCACCCACTGTTCCTGCCTCACTCACTGTCCCTGCCTCACTCTCACTCACTGTTCCTGCCTCCCTCTCACTCACTGTCCCTGCCCCCTATCACTTATTGTCCCTTCCTCGCCCTCACTCTATACTTTCCTGAGTTACTCACTGTTTCCACTTAAAAAAAGCTGAATTCCTGGAACAACTCCATATTGAAGGAGGAAAACGCCTCAATTTAAATATCAGGATAAATTATCTTTATTTCAATGAAAAAGACATGTGGCTAGGACACACACCTGAGGCAAAAGGATCCCCATAGAGGTGTTTCGTCAGAGACTAACTGCTCCTGCTTCCCTCTCATTCACTATCCCTACCTCACTTTCACCGTCCCTGCCACATTCCCATACATTCTAACTGCCACAGTTTCCATCATTTTTACACAATGTTTATGCCTCATTCTCAAATCATTGTCCATTAGTCACTCTCATTTGCTCTCTTAGCCTCACTTTCCATGATTTGCTCTGCCCATACCTCGCTGTGTCTTACACTACAGGGATATGAACTAAACTAAGGTGCAAAGTTCTAAATGTGGAACAATCACCATGGAAACCAACACATTGATTCTGCTGACTGGTCCTACTGAAGAACACTTTTGAAAAATATAACTGTTATATATCTCCTAGATTTTACTAATTAATCTCTGTTGTTTTCTCCCTAAATTAGTGTCTTACGTCTCTGCCATCAATACAATACAATACAATACATAGTGCAGAGAAAGGTTATAGTGTTTATATAATATGGATGGTGAAAAATCTTGCTGAAATGTTAGAGAAGTTGTGCTGTTATCATATCAAAATACATTAATTAAACACACATGCAATAATCATTAGGACATATTTTTGCAGATTTGTTAGCGTTTCCTGCCATATGCCCTTTAATGTGAGTTTATGCACTAAACAGTGATTTGTGGATACTTTAAATCCAAAATGTGCATTTTAGGCAAAAACATGCATTGGAACGATTCCCCAAAGTTCAGCTGTTTTTCAAACTAAGCTCCAATCTTGGGCTTAACGTTGAATTCAGTTTCCAATTTATAATAAAAACCACCGTTTAATGAATAAACCCTATTGATAACCTGTGTTGAGCTACTTCTTTCCAAGATTCTCTTGTGCAAATAGCGCTTTAAAGGGACACTATATACACCCGAACAACTACAGCTTATTGTAGTTGTTTTGGTGTCTATAGCCTATCCTGCAGGCTTTTTGCTGTAAACACTGCATTTAGTAACACCACTAGTGGCCACTCCACAGACAGCCACTGGATCAGGCCACTCCACAGACAGCCACTGGAGCTGCTTCCTGGGACAGTGCTATGATGTTCAGCGCCTCCCTGAGTGATACAGTGAGTGCACTTGATCCCTGAGTGATACAGAATGAGTGCGCCTGATCCCTGAGTGATACAGAGTGAGTGCATCTGATCCCTGAGAGATACAGAGTGAGATCACTTGATCCCTGAGTGATACAGAGTGAGAGTACTTGATCCCTGAGTGATACAGAGTGAGAGCACTTGATCCCTCAGTGATACAGAGTGAGTGTGCCTCCTGATCCCTGTGTGATACAGAATGAGTGCATCTTATCCCTGAGTGATACAGAGCAAGTGCACCTGATCCCTGAGTGATACAGTATGAGTGCATCTGATCCCTGAGTGATACAGAATGAGTGCATTTGATCCCTGAGTGATACAGAGTGAGTGCATCTGATCCCTGAGTGATACAGAGTGAGTGCACCTGATCCCTGAGTGATACAGAGTGAGTGCATCTGATCCCTGAGTGATACAGAGTGAGTGCACCTGATCCCTGAGTGATACAGTGAGTGCACCTGATCCCTGAGTGATACAGAGTGAGTGCACCTGATCCCTGAGTGACACAGAGTGAGTGCACCTGATCCCTGAGTGATACAGAGTGAGTGCACCTGATCCCTGAGTGATACAGAATGAGTGCATTTGATCCCTGAGTGATACAGAGTGAGTGCACCTGATCCCTGAGTGATACAGAGTGAGTGCACCTGATCCCTGAGTGATACAGTGAGTGCACCTTATCCCTGAGTGATACAGAATGAGTGCATTTGATCCCTGAGTGATACAGAATGAGTGCATCTGATCCCTGAGTGATACAGAGTGAGTGCACCTGATCCCTGAGTGATACAGTGAACAGAGTGAGTGCACCTGATCCCTGCATGATATAGATTATGTGCACCTGATCCCTGAGTGATACAGAAAGAGTGCACCTGATCCCTGCATGATATAGATTATGTGCACCTGATCCCTGAGTGATACAGAAAGAGTGCACCGGATCCCTGCATGATATAGATTAAGTGCACCGGATCCCTGCATGATATAGATTAAGTGCACCTGATCCCTGAGTGATACAGAGTATACAATCGGATGAGATCTGAGGGGTATCTATGTGATAGCTGAATTAGTTACCAGAAATAGTGTCATGTTGATGAGACACACAAGTTCAAAATTGTTCAGCCCACGGTTGGTCATCTTAAAAATACTTGTTTAAAATAATGCTCCACTGCCAATGCTTTCTGCATATATGCTGTATAAATATATTTACCTGTATATCTACAGTACCTGTCTGTGCTCATCTGCATGTCAAGCTAGACAATCTGTGAGAATTGTGGAACTTGATTTCTCAAAATTCCAGCGTCCCAGTTAAATTTCACACAAGCTCCTATACGAGATTTGGAGTTGCAACTTTTGAATAGCAGGTTCTACGGCTGAGAGTTGGTTTGATACAGGACTACCACATACAACAGAAAAAGAACGTAAAATAAGTCAAAACCATTTGACAACCGATTAGAACCTTATGCTCACTGTCTGTGATTAATTCCGGGTAGAAATGGCAAGATAATGCGCATTTCATATCATTCCACTCTTTTTATAAAACTGTGTATAACGAGCAAATAGTTCTCTAATAGTGCAAATTTCTTGAGACTGCATTACCATTACATCAAACAAAAATGGTTGTTCTACTTGTTTAAGAGTTTTCATTTGAATTCATGTGGGACTGCACTGGAATGCATAATCATCTCATATTTATTTTCCCATGACCCTGTGGGAGACTTGTTGACACAACTTTTACTTGTAGTATGGAAATGTATTCTGCTTTGCTTCCTAAATGAGCAATTTAAAGATTTCTTTTGATTTCTACTCTATATAGGTTTATATCCCATTGTACAGCGCTATGGAATCTGATGGCGATATATAAATAATAAAATAATAATAATAATATACAGACATAAAAAGTAAAGGTTAGTTAATGAACAGAGTATTAAACATGTCAGTTTTTACAATGTTTTAAGCAACTAACTATTTTTCTTTAAGCTTGATATGGGTGTATTTATAGGAATACTAAATTTGTATACAATGTAGCGTAGACACATAGAAACATAGAATGTGATGGCAGATAAGAACCATTCAGCCTGTCTAGTCTGCCCAATTTTCTAAATACTTTCATTAGTCCCTAGCCTTATCTTATAGTTAGGATAGCCTTATGCCTATCCCACACATGCTTAAACTCCTTTACTGTGTTAACCTCTACCACTTCAGTTGGAAGGCTATTCCATGCATCCACTACCCTCTCAGTAAAGTAATACTTCCTGATATTATTTTTAAACCTTTGCCCCTCTAATTTAAGACTAGGTCCTCTTGTTGTGGTAGTGTTTCTTCTTTTAAATATAGTCTCCTCCTTTACTGTGTTGACTCCCTTTATGTATTTAAGTGTTGTGCTTCCATTTTAAATTACCTGGCCCCCCTTTTCCCTCCGAAATAGAGCATTAAAGGAACACTATAGTGTCAAGAATACAAACATGTATTCTTGACACCATAGCCCTAGTATGGCTGTTTAGTTCCCCGTCCCCCTTACTTTGAAAAGGTGAATTTACTCATTCTTTCTCCCACTCCATGCAGGTTTCAATGCTGCTGGCTCTGCCTCCATTGCTGAGATCATCACACTTGATGATCTCTGCCAATCCAAATATTTGGCGCACGCGCCAATTAACATCTCCCCATGCATGTCTATGGGGAACGTTCAGCGACTCCATGCAGAGCGTGGATATGCTGAAGGTTAGTCCCGCGCTGCATATCTCTGGATTGGGAAGCACCTCTAGTGGCGTTTGGGTGGTCTAACTAGCCAGCAATATAAATGCTTTTTCTCGGAAAAGACAGCGTTTACATTGAAAAGCCTGCAGGGACAGGATATAAATACCAGAACCACTTCATTAAGCTCTAGTGGTTCTGGTGACTCTCACTTATATTAATGCAGCCATAAGATTGTCCCTTGTAGCAGCTCTGACCTGCTAGATCTGCAGTAGAATGCTTCTCACAGAGAAGCATTTGGAGGGGGACATGTGCTGCTTCTCTCACAGAGAAGCATTGCCTTCCTCTTGATACTGCAGCACAAAGCAGTCAGGAAAATTACCCTCCCAGCTGTGTGTGATTGACAAATTGTATGGTGCATACTTGTTACTTTATAAAAGTACAAGTTCTCTGAAATCGTAACATTTACAAAGAGACAAAGGGATCATTCTATTCAACCAAATTCCTCAAAAAAATTTGCTTTTTGCGTGTGGCTTTATCTTGAAGCCAGGCTTGTCTTCCAAACCTTTAAATATAACAATATAGTAGAAAACAAATTGTAAGTTAAAAATCAGTAACAATAGCATTTGTTTGGGAAATATATGTAAAAAAATAAAATAAAAAACTTAAAATATTTTAATACATTTAGTCCATTTCTAAAATAAGACTGTATTCTGTTTCTTCAAATCAAGAAAGGGAACATATCCCACATGTACATATTATAAGAGAAAGAATAAACAAATAAATATATTAATAGGAATTTAACCTTGCTTATAATCCATATCTTGCAGTGTTAATAATCTATAACTGTACTATGCAAGTAAAATCATTACACTGAATACTGCCTAGTTATTTCTAGGATAAAATTTGAATTCTAGTCCATTCTATCCATCACACACGTACTAAAAAGAGAAGAATTATCTACCTTCGGGCATGGCATCGCAGGATCAGGAATTGATGGTAATTCTGTAAAAATATCTGTACAACACTGACTGCCCAAATACATTAGTTATCTATATGTTATGTGTCACGATCCCAGTGCTTACTGTTATATAACAGATTCTCATTGTAGATATAAGTGCCCTTTTTATTAACCTCCTTCACAGGCATGTGCACCTTGACATAGTAATATACACAACAATGGCAATTAAATATTTTATAAAACTAAAATCTTTCTGAAGGTTGAAGGAGATTTTTTTTATTTCTGCTTGGCTGACCGCTTACCGACCTAAAACATTCCTGACATTTGATGTGAGTAGATATTTTGTTCGATTGCCCAGTATCCAGGTAAAGAATCTTTATTTGTTCATATAGGAATAGTTAAAACATCTTGGAGTGGGAGGCGGGGACTTACAGCAGAGCTAAACAGTCATCTTTTCAGTGAGCTCTGGCACAATTAAGCTAAATATTGGCTATTACTGGCCATTATCGAGACTTTTGCAGTTTGGCAAAACAATAGCTACTTGCCGCCTTAAGTGGGGGCCCGTGGAAGTCTGTTCCATATAATTCTGCTAAGATATACCACACTCCACAACTGTGGCCTAGCATGGAATGCGGCCTAATGCCCGGGAGAAACGGCCGACATGTAGACTGCTCCGAGCAGAAACTCACCAGAAGCCCTGCATCCCCCCCTTTGGACTGGTGGGGGTTATCCCGGTCCCCTCTGGGGAAATCCACATACCTACAGCATATAAATCATCCGCCAGAACAAATGCAGAACCCAAAATGGCCGCCAGGCCACAGCCTCAGCAGTGTCGAGGGGGTTCTGTGATCCAGACCTGGAGATAGAGTTTTGAGGTGCAGTTCAATCGAGTCTGCCAGGAATTCTGGAGGTGCTTGAAGCATAGGTCTACCCTCCATGATACACCTGCTACTCGGGAGCCTGTGTCCGAAGCGACAGCTCACAGATTCAGAACTAGGTCCTGGCCCCATATGGGGGCGCATCCACCTCGCCAACTGAACTACCAGCAGATTCACCAGGCAGCAGAGAGTACTGCAGCAGGATATCACCAAAAACCCACCTTATCATACTCTACTGACCAAAGGGACTAGGGGGACTGGGACTTCCCAATCTTAACCTGCATTACCTGTCGGCACAGCTAGCCCAAATAATAGAGTGGCACTCACCCCCAGATAGACGCAGATGGGCAGATCTTGAATCCCTAGTGATGAGAAGAGACCTTCC